TGTTTAAATAAAAACTGCGGGGGGAAGATGTATATTCTGTATATCAGTTGCCAGATGTTTGTAATGTAAATATTTTTCCTGTCCTTTGTCTTTCTTTTTCATTTCTTAATAGTGTTTTTTGTAGAGCAAAACTTTTAAATTTTGATAAAGTCCCATTTATCACATGTTTAGCTTTTATAAGTCATACTTTTTTATGTCCTAAGAAATATTTATACTTTATACTTTTCCTTTTAGATTTAGTTCTAAAATCCCGATTTTAAAGTAATCTTTGTGTACTGTGGGAGGTGTGCTGGCTAACCAACTCAACTCACATTGCTTAAAGTCACCTACATTTCAGTTCTTTCCAGGATGTGTTTATTGGGAAGTATTCTTCATTTGAAAGGTAATATTCCTTGGTAGAATTTACATTTTGTTTTCCCTATGGAGAATGGCATAATTAATGGTGAAATTGGACAAGTAACTGTAAGCTGAGAATTTTTGGAAGCCAAAACATCTTTCTCATTTTCATTTTCTCCATTGCTTCTTTTCACATATGGGAATTGGGGGCACCTGGGTGGCTCAGTCGGTTAGGTGTCTGACTCTTGATTTTGGCTCAGGTCATGCCCCACATGGGGCCCTGCACTGACAGTATGCAGCCTACATAGGATTCTCTCACTCCATCTCTGCCCCTCCCAACCCCCCTTATTTGCTCTCTCTCTCTTTCTCTCAAAATGAATGAATAAAACTTTTTAAAAACATGGAATTGGGGCAGCTGGATGACTCAATCAGTTATGCACCTGACTCTTGATTTCAGTGCTAGTCATGATCTTATGGTTCATGGGTTCGAGTCCTACATCGGGCTCCTCACTGACAGTGCAGAGCCTGCTTGGGATCCTCCCTCCCTCTCTCTGCCCTTCCCTACTCATGCTCTTTCTCTCAAAATAAATAAACTTAAAAAATAAAATAAAATAAAATATGGGAATTTCTTCTCTTAGTATTTGTTATCATGATTCCTATTTTCATCTGTGCATCATTGAAGCTCAGAAATATAATACTTTCCAGCCATCCAAAATATTGATGCTAACATTAGCTGTTAACTCAGGTTTTCATGCCAAATCTGTCATCTTAGCACATGTGAAATAGAAAAAATTACAAAATCTTTGTAAGAGCAGCAGGCCAGAAGATTATAGCAAGTAAACTTTCCTGTCCCAAACAGATAATATTATATATGTGAGTATTATTACCATATTTACTATTTATTGAGTCACATCTATTAAACAGGAGAAAGTCCTACTGTATGACTTTTATCCTGGAGATAGTCCAGGCAGAATGGTGACAGTGTGCTCTCTATTACTTGATTGGTTTTTCAGTAGTCTGATTTGACCAGGTTTGCTGTGTTTCTTTCTTGGTTGGCCATTTCATAGCTTCGGCTCAAGATAGTCTCATTTGTCATACACAGTCACCTTTTTGTCAATTGTGTTGCATCTTTGCCACGTCACCTGTCACAGTGTATAAACAGCTGTCGCTGTCAGTGACATGAATCATCCTGTGGCCTACCTTCTCATGGCTAGTGCTCATCGGTTTAATAATTTGGTAGATTTCCTTCATGTCCCTCAGAAATTGTTCTGAGTTTAGTTGCCATCTGACATATGGATCCTTTATGCCAAGTAATGAAATATGGAGAACAGAATGCTCTGTGAGTGATTAGATTAGGTCATCATCTTATTCCAAGGCCTTCAGGAAACACATGCAACTTCCAAATAACCCCCAAATCTCTCTGCTTGCATGGAGACAAATCATGTTAGTTTCAAGTAATGTTCTTCTTCTTTTACTCCCATTACATTGTCTTCATCCTTCTAACATAATAGGTAACATGTCTTTGTAATAGAGTTGCAGCACACAAGCCCTTAATTGATACGATGTCATGTCTAAGTAAAGCTGAAGGAGAATACAGTCAAACCTTGGATTGTGAGTAACTTGTTCTGCGAGTGTTCCTCGAGATGAGCAAACATTTCTAAGACATTTGAACTTGATAGGGACCCCTAGGTGGCTCAGTGAAGCGTCTGACTTTGGCTCAGGTCATCGATCTAGTGGTTCGTGGGTTCGAGCCCGCTGTTGGGCTCTGTGCTGACAGCTCAGAACCTGGGGCTGCTTCGGACTCTGTGTCTCTGCCTCTCTCTCTAAAAAAGAAGTAAACATTAAAAAATAAAAATTAAAAAGTTTAACTTGATGAGCAATGCCTTGCCATACAAGTGGTAGATGACACGGAATGTCCCATGATCACAACTGAGTCGATGATCCTTGCAATTCACTTTGCTATACAAGCGCTTTGGATTACAAGTATGTTTCCAGAAGGAATTATGCTCACAAACCAAGGTTTTCCTGGGATCTACATTTCAACATTTCCGTTTTGACGACTGGCCCTGTAGCAGTTAGGGTTTAGTCAGAGAAGCAGAAGCCCCATGAATGATGAAGAATTGTGGATTGTTATGGTCATTAGCCCTTACAGAATCGCCGAGGCTGGTTAAGCAGTCTATGTCTAGTATTTGGCCTCAATCAGCAGGGACAACAGTCGGGAAGGAGAGATGGTCATGAAATGGGGGAGAGTAAACACAGATTAGGATTGTTGAGGACAAGCTGGAACCCATGAGGACAAACTAGAACCTGGGAAGACAGATTGGGACTTGCATTTGTCTGTCATTGTATCGCGCTTTTAGTGATATATGTGATCTGTAGGATAAGGTGGTGCCTATGGCCACAGTTTTGAACATGCAAATGAGTGTTGAACACATTAATGACTTAGTGTAAGGTTCAGGAGAGCTAACGGAGGAGATCTGGTGGGGCCGGAGGGCTGCAGCCAGGCTGCTGGCCCATGCCTACATGGGGAGCCAGCAGATCAGCGCCTGGCCCTACAATGACTTTTATCGCGTAAAAGTGTTTTCTGCTTTACTTCTGCCTTTCAAACCTCACGCAAATTTCTCCTTTTACTAACCCTAATATAGAAGCCTAGGATCTTATAGGGAAGAGTATTCTGGGAAATGTAGTTCCATCTTAGGTAAGTGAATATGGTAGAAAGCCACCAGAAGTCCACTTCTTTAGCATCCCTGGAGTAAGTAAGGGATTGAAGATATGTATCCAGTGTATTTTTAGTCTGTCTCAGTTCCTAAGTACCTGTCATACTGTAAGCATGTCAGTGTTGAGTGCAGTTCCACTATTTGGTTGAATTTTTCAGACAAGACTGCTTTTTTGATCAATTGCTTCATTGCATGATGAGAAGAAAGTGATCTGATCCAAAGCTGGAAGAAAGAATGTCTGTTTAGGTCTATAAACCAAAAGACGCTCTGTGGATCTCTAACATGGTGCCTTCCTAAGAAAGTATTTCTAGAGTAGATTTGCCCATTGATCAAATTTTCAGTGTATACTTTGACTTTCCAACACTTCCTGCTTTTAGAACCTTCTTCTTCTTCTTCTTCTTCTTTTTTTTTTTAGTTTATTCATTTGGAGAGAGGGAGAGCGAGCTCAAGCAGGGGCGGGATAGAGAGGCGGGGGAGGAGAAAGAGAGAATCTCAAGCAGGCTCTTTGCTGTCAGTACAGAGCTTGACATGGCGCTCTGTCCCAAGACCCTGAGATCATAACCTGTGATGAAATCAAGAGTCAGACACTTAACTGATTCAGCCACGTAGGCACCCCCAAACCTCTTCCATAAATATTTGAGAAATGGCAAATGAAATGTGTACTTCTCAAGTGTGGGGATTTTCTTCTGTTGTGTTCCTCCTACAACAAGCAAAGCACATGACCCATGTTAGATAATTAGTAGATGTGGGTTAAATGATTTACTGCACATTTCTATTCTGTCTTGTGTAATATCAAAACCAAGAGTATTACAAATGTTTTCTTTTTTAATACGATTCCATGTTGCCCTTAATATGAGCCACTGAAGATTGTGTATGCTTTGGGGACTGGGTGAAGCTGACTGCCCGTTCAGTGTGGGTTTCACAAGGCAAGTTGAAGTTTAGAGAAAAGTATGTGTATATTAAAGTACTTTGGAAACTATTGGCCCAGTTTGTTTCCTTCAGTGTTTTTCAAATCTACCTGCACTCTGCCTGTACCTCTCTCTGTCCTCTGTTTCTCTTTCTGTGGCCAATCATCTTTAAAATATTACTAACATAATCCACGTCCAAACAGTAAATCAAGGAGAAATGTGAACATCAAAGTTCTCTGATCTCCTCCCTCTCCACACACATTTCACACTATACACAAATAATCACTGCCAATAATTTTATGTACCTTTCCTTAAATATTCTCTGAATTTATAAACATGTATATGAATATACATATCTACTTACACGTATAGGTATACTTGAAGCACTATTAGCAATATTATTCTGCAACAAGATTTCACTTAATATATCTTGAAACTTTAAAAAATCAGCACATAAAGTTACAGCTTTCTTTTAAGCAAACTCTTCAAAATGTATTCCAAAGTACAATTTACAACATAACTAGTTTCCTGCAATAGTTATCTGAAATTCTAAGATTTAACATTACAAATAATGTTGCAGAACATAGATCTTTGTCTGTATCCTGCAGGTATCTCTCCAACGAGCAACTTCTAAATAGTGGAATGCACGGTATGCCTGAGCTTTGTTATCAACCAAAGGGTATGTATGTTCAGGATATATAATGTTTAGAGCTCATTGGCAGTTGCTAGTGATCACTGGATCACATGCATCTCCACAGCCTCTTTTTCAAGAGACCTTGGATGAAAGGAAAAATTCTCGAAAGAAAGGTCTTTGCCTCTATCATTTGTGGATCTGCCTTTGGTCATCTGTAATTCACTAATCATTAGCCATCCTTCATAACCATTTTTTGAAACTGAAGACAACTTTTCGAGAGACTAAAAGTGTCATCACTGTGTTTAACCCAATCGAATCTACTACTCTAAGAAACGAATGTATTTCCACAATTTCATTATTTTCTTAAGCTTGAATAATAATGCTGATATGACCACTAAAAATGAGTCGCCCAGTTTGCAAATCTCATGTTTCTAATTGCCATCAATACATTCTTTTATAAAGTATGCCGCTTGACATACTCAGTCTTTGGAAAACTTGTGAAAGGAATGTGAAGAGAAAAAAGTAAAAGGCAACAAATCAATTTGTTTTCAAAGTTGGTATTGTAGGAAACATGTTATGTTTGCTAACAACGAGTACAGCGCCTTTTCCCACTGTGCAAGAGCAACGAGGCAAAGAAGAAAGATGGAGAGGATGTGCATTTCATTCAGCACTATCCAATGTAGAAGGATGAAGTGGATCTGCTAAGCAACCAGGTAGTTCAACCCCTCGACTGAAGAGTGGGACAGTAAGAACTGTCCCATCATATGTCTGTCCTGTAATGTATTTAATCATTCCCTTACTGCTGGACTAAAACCTGGGTCGTATCCAAGTTTTCATAATAGTGAGCAACACTGGGATGACCATCCAAGCAGCTGAATGATTGTACCTGTCACTGATTTCTCCCTCTCCCCAATCCGCAAAGGCTGAGTTTTAAAGGTAGAACTCCTGGATTTATATGGTTTTATTTGTGATTTCTAACCAAATATACTCAAGGCTTTCCCCTTCAAATCCATGGACTCTCTCAAGCAAGCAAAGAGAGGATGGCACCCTCACATGTGCACTGTCCAGATTTCTGTGGTCTCCCATAATTGACCATACTGCTCTTTCCTGCATTTGTGCTATCAGGTTACCACTCAGGAAATCTTCCATTCCCTCTTACGATCCCCACATAGGGGCTGGCCAATGCCTCAACACAGGAAAAACAACAACAACAACAACAACCTTCCCCAACCCACTTTTATAAATCTATGAAGCTATCAGAAAGTACCATCGCCTCCCAAAGGCAAGTTTCTGCCTTGGTTGGATTATTGTAATGTAATAGAATTAAATGTTTAAAGGCTGTATTTTCAATACATAATTTTCTTTTCCAAAGATGAGCAGTCCGGCTATTAGAGAACAGAGTCAAAAAACGGCTGCCTATCATCTCGGCGTTGCCGAAGCTATGAGGAGCCACAAGACTAAGAAACCTGAATTTAATGTGAGTCTTTTCAAAATTTCTCTTGCTAATACCTGCAAATACTATAAAGTAATCATTGATTTTAGTCTTCTGAATTGCTACCTTTATTCTTTGTTGCTTTTTGGTAGTTTAGAGTAAATGAATTACTTCTCCTTCATTCCGGAAAGCTGTCCTAGAGGACAAACGGCCACTCACTGCTGAGACTAAAGCTGTTAAAAAAGAAGAGTATTCTCAAAGCCTCCAGGAACAACTGGATAATGAGGGAAAAAGGAGAGAAAACAAACACAAAAGACACAGCTGGTAGACCTCCTGGAACAAGTGCGTTTCGCAGAACAGTGAGTTTGGCTGACAGGCTCTCAAAACAGGGTCAGAATTTTCATGGGAAGCTTCTTTCCATGTGGGATTCCATCAGCATTGGTCGTTTCATTAGCACAACTGTAAAGCACCTGAGCTAACTACCCAGCTAGCAGCAGAACATTGCATTAGAAAAGTGAAAACAGCTGTCATCATTATAGTCATCATTATAGTGGTACCAATCGATAGTTCCTTATAGAGTATCATTTTATATTGTGTTGTGATCACTGATGCTGGTAGATGCAGGAAGAGACTTGTCTTGAACAGGCACCATTCCCAGCTATTCCCAGTCAATCCAAGTCCAAGCTGGAGTTTTATTTTAAGAACGTATGTTTCCCGGGGAACCTGGGGCAGGAATGTGGGGGAGGGGGGATCTACAAGGACTAGAATCAGGGACTAAAACGTTATGTCAAGAACCCTTCCCTCTGCTCCCTCGCCCCAACAGCTCCTTGGTAGACATTGTCTTTCTTCCAGCTCAAACCTGGGCGAATGTTAGTCTCAATTCCAAATATTCGGGAAAGAGAATCTGATTGGTCTTGTTCAGATCATCTGATGCCTGGGATAGGGTCAGAGTTCAAACCTGCCTAAGAAGGGGCTCCCACTTCTACTAGGGTCTGGAGAGAAATAAAAGAGGCTACTCTAGTGTGAGAGACACTCTGAAAACCATTTTTCATGACCAAAAAATTATTCTATAAAATGTGTATGTTCCATTGTACTCGCTTTATAGATCATATGGTTTCCCTGTAGGTTACATATAACAGAATCATAATGTATAATAGGAAAGATCACTTTTCGTAAAGAGGAATCTTATGGTGAATCATTTTGTACAGGAATAGACACTTCCTGCTTTCCTCTCCTGAATTCTTTGAAGCCCGGGGGTGGAGGGGGGTGGGGATGAAGGAGGGCCTGTGTTAGTGGTAGTGAATTTGGACAAAATGGTCATTCCTCTGCTTATACCCATCCTGTCTGTCCTCTATTCAACACACTGTCCACTAGCCTGTGCATTGCATTACTCCTTTCGTTCTTAAAATGGAAGCTCCTAGAAAGAAGTACCACTTTTTATTTTCCAGGCTCTTACTCCTATTGATACTTATTAAATACAATTTAATGATGTTAATCTGTATTACTGTAAAGAAAATAACAGACTGTGCCCCTGCCTCCTCTTATTCTTAATTGCTAGACTCGCTGCACAGAAAGGCAAACATATCACAGCAAAGATGGAAAAGACTCAGAGTTATATGAGAGTTTTGGATGCACAGGTGAGGGACAATTGTGATTTTTGTAATTATGCAGTGCTACAGTAGCATTCTAAAAATATGTATAAAACCATAATGTTATGAGTAGCCTTGTGTGTCACCCGTCTGGTAGTTTTTGTAGCCCTTGTTCCTTCCTCTAAGGGTCTGATAATTTCCTATGCTACACTGTTATGCATAAAGAATATTGCCTGGTAATATTCTGATCTGTATTACGTGTGTCCCTATTTCAGATTAAGAAGCAATCCCCGCAAAAGCCTGTGCCTGAGCCCGATTCTCGTGAGTGTGTCTTTGGTAAGGATGAGAGAGCGATGACAGTGGAAATGCGTAGGCGAGAACGGGATTGTGTGAAACACCAGATACATACGAGCTGCCGCAAACAACAAAAGAAGAATCATTCTGGACCATGTGGCGGATCAGAGGCAGGGTTTGCAGATATTTCTGAAGACACAAAAAGAGTAAGGGACCCACATCTTCTTCCTCCTCGTCCTCGCCTGCTCCCCTCTCCACATTCCTCTTCTCCTCTTCTCTTTCTCCCTTTCTCCTACAACAGCATGCAAGCAATAATAATAGTGAACACAATGGAGAGTTACCACGTGCAAAATATTATCCTACGCTTCATCTTGTTTCGTCCTCCTAATTCACCCTATGAAGAAAGGTTGTGGATAAAACCCAACCAACCGGACTCGATCCCACCTGTCTCACCAGTTACCGCTCCACACTTCCCCTTCCCTTTACAGTTCAGCTTCTTAAAAGAGTTGTCCAGATCAGCACTCTCCATTGGAAATACAGTGTGAGCCGCAAAGGTGCTGTTGTGCTCAACTGGACACAGACCTGAAACTTGGCCCCTTTCTCCAAGAAACCCCCTTCCCTCTAAGAAGTATTCATGGAGTAAGCTGCACTGATGATGGCTGGTGAGGGGCGGTGAAGGTGGCAGTATGGGCAGAGGAGGACTTTATGCCATATCGATGCAAATATATCTTTAAATTCAAACATCAAATACCCAGTTTCTTTCTTTTCTTTTCCTCTTCTTCCCTTTTTTCTTTTCCTTTCCTTTTTTGATTTGATAAGTGTATACATTATTCTGTTTTCACCACAAGTGTCGTTAGCATCTGTCATGTTACTTTGCTAGTACAATATCACTGACTGTATTCCTTATGCTGTGCCTTTTATTCCCATGACTTACCATTCCGTATCTGGAAGCCTCTATCTCCCACTCCCCGTCACCCATTTTGCCTGATCCTCCATCCCCCTTCCCTCTGGCAACCTCCTGTTTGTTCTTTGTATTTATAGGGCTGATTTTGTTCATTTGTTTGTTCCTTTTTTTTTTTTTTTTTTTAGATTCCACTCATGAGTAGAATGCTATGGTATTTGTCTTTCTCAGTCTGTCTTATTATTTCACTTGGAATAAAACTCTTGGGTCCATCCATGTCCTTTCATATAACAATCTCATCCTTTTTATGGCAGTGTAATATTTCATGGTGTGTGTGTATGTTTTATATATATATACAGACAGACATACCACATTTTTCTTATGCATTCATCTACCGATGGATGCTTAGGTTGCATCCATATATCGGTTATTATGAATGATGCCGCATGTAAATATATTTTTTGAATTAGTGTTTTCATTTTCTTTGGGTAAATGCCCAAAGGTGGAATTACTGGATTCTATGGTAGTTCTATTTTTAGCTTTTTGAGGAAGCTCCATACTGTTTTCCCCAGTGGCGGCACCAGTTTGCATTCCCAAAAACAGTGCATTGCATGAGGGTTCATTTTTTCCCCGCATCCCCACCAGCAGCTGGTGTTTCTTGTCTTTTTGAATGTAGCCATTCTGACTGCTCTAGGGTGATATCTCACTGTGGTTTTGATTTGTATTTTGCTGATAATGAGTGATGTTAATCTTGGTCACTTCCAAGCTGCATGACCTATGCCAAATCACACACTGGGTCTCTGGGCTCTCTTTTCCTCCCATGAAACATACGGATGATAGTCCTGCCCTACCTTTCCTTAATGTGAGAATTATGTAAGCATAAGTATGTGAGAACTGTTTTGGAAACCACAACGCTCTGAACAAATATGAAGTGAGGTCCTTACCTGGGTATCTCTCTTGTTGAAGCCCTGGTCACAGACCCCCTTTCTGTAGGGGTCTGATCCTTGTCTGCTGTTTCTATATCCTTTACTAGTTATTCCAGATTCTCTCACTTCTTTTTTCCAACTTTCCTGTCTCAGGTCCATCTCGGGATGTCATCTGAGGTCCTCCTGTGGCAAGTAGAGGGTCACTTTCTTTCAGAGGGGATCATTTAGTCACTGTGATTCAAACAGCCCTGCTAAAGTATATTGACTCCTTTTTCTTTAAACTTTATGGCTTTTGTTTATAAAACATATACCAATTCACGCTCATTAAAAGAAGTCAGTTGGTGGGGCGCCTGCATGGCTCCGTCATTAAGTGTCTGACTCCTGATTTCGGATCAGGTCATGATCTCGTGGTTCGTGAATTTGAGCCCCATGTCTGGCTCTGCACTGATGGTAGGGAGCCCGCTTGGGATTCTCTTTCTCTCCCTTTCTCTCTGCCCTCTCTCTCGTGCTCTCTCTTGCTCTCTCTCAAAATAAACAAACTTTAAGAACAAACTCAGCGGTGGAAAGATTTTTAAAAAGGCTAATAATCTCCCCTAGCTTTCTGTATTTTTTCTATTCTTTACCAATATATTTGATAATATGCACATATATATTTTGTTTCCATTTTTTGTAAATGAAAATAAGACCGATGAGATCTTATACATTACTCTTCAGCCCAGCCTTTCTTTTAAAAAATTTTTTAAATGTTTTAACTTATTTCTGAGAGAGAGAGAGAGAGAGTGAGTAGGGTAGGGTCAGAGAGAGAGGGAGACACAGACTCTGAAGCAGCCTCCAGGCTCTGTACTAGCTGTGGGCACAGAGCCCGATGTGGGGCTCGAACACAGGAACCGTGAGATCATGACCTGAGCTCAACTGACTGAGCCACCCAGGCGCCCCAGCCCAACTTTTCTTTAACCTAGTAACGTATCATTAGTTTATATTTAGATCAGTACATAGAAATGAAATTCATTCTTCTTCAAACATAGCATGCTATCTATAATATGGGTTACTATAATTTAACTTTTGCGTTATTGATGAACATTCACTCTGTTTCCAGATGGCCTGCTAGTACAACAATTTTGCATTAAACATTTGTAATATATATCTTCATACGAATTATTTTGTTTCCATTGCGGAAAATGGAAAACTAAAATGGACTTGCTGGATGCCAGCCGATGGCACATTTTAAATATCACCAGATACTGACAGTTTGCTTTCTAAAAAAGTACAGCAATCTTGTGAGCATCCTAGTTTGCCTCCCCTGAAGCCCCACTGCATTTTCTCACATTCTTAGCATCTAAATTACACTGACTTTTTAAACTTTCCTTTTAATTATTTTTAAAACTTTTTTAATGTTTTATTTATTTCTGAGAGAGAGAGAGCGAGCATGAGCAGGGGAGAGTCAGAGAGAGAGGGGGACACAGATTCTGAAACAGGCTCCAGACTCTGAGCTAGCTGTCAGCACAGAGCCCGACAGCGGGGCTTGAACCCACAAACCGTGAGATCATGACCTGAGCCGAAGTGGGACTCTTAACCAACTGAGCCACCCAGGCGCCTCTAAACTATCCTTTTAAAAAGCATACAATCATAACCAAAAAGCTTTTGAAAAGATGCTCAACACAACTAATCATTAGGGTAATGCAAATCAAACCACAGTGAGATAGCTGCTCACTAACAAATTGTTTCCATTTGCTGAGCTGTGAACAGGTCAGCCTTATCCCGCTGCCTGCTGTCATTGTTCGTTCTGTTTGGAATAGATGTCATTTAGCTTTTAACTAGATGTTTGCCTCTCCAAGCTAAGAAGTGTTTCATGTTTTACTGAATTTTTACTTATGTAGACCCTAGAGACAAGGATGCTCCACTCCAGTGAATAAAGGTAGCAAAGTAGGATGGTAAGATTGCAAATGTAACTTTTATATTACACAATTTAATAATTTAATTCCAATCGCATATCCGTCCTGGAGGCCAAGTCTATGGCAGTCTGAATGAAGTAGCAGTTAGCCAACTATTCACTTTCCCCCTTGCAACTCATTTATGTAAATGGGGGGGGGGAATCTGATAATGTATACATCACTGTAACCTATAGAGACAAGATGGCTATCTTTTCTTTCCCCTAGGGCTTTCTGCAAAAAAACCCACATATGTTTGCAGAATCACATCATTAGGTTTCACAAATGCAAAGATAAAATGTGCTATCATTTATTTTGTATCATAAAATCTTTGTTTTGTGAAATGTCCAAATCAGCAATAATTATAGATTTTTCTTATACCACCTGCACGGTGAAACATTGAACACTTTTAGGGGATTCAAATGACTAGAAAGGAAGAAAACTGTGGATTCAGTGGTAGACGAAACCATTAAAGTGCAATTAGGATGTCAAAAGGAAAGATCAAGAAAATGAAGGAAGCAAAAACAAAAGCAGAAACTAAAACTAAAGAAAAAAGAAAAAGAGAAAGATACTAGGTCACATTCGTTAGGATGACTCCTACCAAAACCCAGAAAATAATAGGTGCTGGCAAGGATGTGGGCACTATTGGTGGGAACGTAAAATGGTGCAGCTGCTATGGAAAACAGCATGGCAGGTACTCAAAACATTAAAAATAGAATTACCAAATGATTCAACAATAATATACCACTTCTGTGTATATATCTAAAAGAATTGAAAGCAGGATCCTTTTGAGAACATTTAAAAATTATTTTATTTTCACTCCAGTGTCGTTAACATGAAATGTTATGTAGAACAGAGTGAACGTTAACATTGTACGTTTTAGTTGTGCAATACAGTGATTCAGTAATGCCATGCATTACTCATTGCTTCTCAAGAGAAGTGTACTCTTAATCCTCTTTACCTGTTTCCTCCCCCATCTCCCATCCACCTCCCTCTGGTAACCACCTATTTGTTCCTTCTAGTTAAGAGTCTGTGTTTTGGTTTCTCTCTCTTTTTCTCCCCTTTGTTCGTTTGTTTTGTTTCTTAAATTCCACATATGAGAGACATCATCTGGTATTTGTCTTTCTCTGACTGGCTTATTTTGCTTAGCATTACAATCTCTAGACCCATGTATGTTGTTGCAAATGGCAAGGTCTTGTTCTTTTTTAAGGCTGAACAACATCCATCAAACACTCCCCCCCCCCCCCAATATACCACATATATTTTTTGGATCTTGTATACTTTTACTGTGTGGATGAGATTTTTAAAAAAGAGTTTATTGTCAAGTTGGTTTCCCTATAACACTCAGTGCTAATCTGCACAAGTGCCCGCCTCCATGCCCATCACCCCCTTTCCCCTCTCCCCCACCCCATCGGCCCTCAGTTTGTTCTCCTCTATTCACCTATGGATGGAACCTGGGCCGTTTCCATAATTTGGCTTTTGTAAGTAAGGCTACAAGAAACATAGAGGTGCATGTATCCCTTCAAAGTAGTATTTTTGTACTCTTTGGGTAAATACCTAGTAATGCGATTACTGGATTGTAGGGTAGTTTCATCTTTAAGTTTTTGAGGAACCGTCATATTGTCTTCCACAGTGGCTGCACCAATTTGCATTCCCACCAACTGTACGTGAGGCTTCCTTTCCCTCCACATCATCACCAAAACTCGTTGTTTCTTGTGTTTTTGATTTTAGCCATTCTGACAGGTATGAGGTGATGTCTCCTTGTGGATTTGATTTGCATTTCCCTGCTGATAAATGATGCTGAGCATGTTTTCATCTGTCTGTTGGCCATCTTTATGTCTTCTTTGGAGAAATATCTGTTCAGATCCTCTGCCCAATTTTTACTGGGATCATTTGTTTTTTTTGATGTTGAGTTATAGTAGTTCTTTATATAGTTTTTATTTTGATAGGGTCCCAATTGTTTATTGTGCTTTTGTGTCCTTGTCCCAGGAGACATATCTAGACATATGTCATGGCATATGTCAGAGAATTACTGCCTGTGCTCTTATAGGATTTTTATGGCTTCAAGGGTCACGTTTAGGTCTTTATCCATTTTGAGTTTATTTTTGTGTATGGTGTAAGAAAGGGGTCTAGTTTCATTCTTTTGCAAGTTGTTGTCCAGTTTTCCCAGCACTGGACAACAACAAAAGAGACTTTTTCCCATTGAATATTCTTTCCTGCTTTGTAGAAGATAAATTGAGCATACAGTTGAGGGTTTGTTTCTGGTCTTTCTGTTCCATTCCATTCATCTATCTCTGTGTCTTCTTTTTGTGCCAGTACAATACTGTTTTGATCACTATAGCACTATAATATAACTTGAAGTCGGGAATTGTGGTGCCTCCAGCTTTGGTTTTTTGGTTTTGTTTTTGATTTGGTTCCCCTCCGCCCCCCCAACTCTCCCCCCCAACACATACACAAGATTTCTTTGGCTATTTGAGGACTTTGGCTATTTGGGTTTTGTGTTTCCATGCGGATTTTAGTATTGTTTGTTCTAGTTCTATGACAAAACGGTTGTGGTGTTTTGATAGGGAATTCATTAAATGTGTAGAGTGATTTGGGTAATATGAACATTTTAACAATATTTGTTCTTCCAGACCATGAGCATGAAATGTCTTTCCGTTGGAATCCTTCTCAATTTCATTCATCGTTGCTTTATAGTTTTCAGAGGACAGATCTTCCATGTCCTTTGTCAAGTTTACTCCTAGGTATTCTATTCTTTTTGGTGCAATTATAAATGGGTTTATTTTCTTAATTGCTCTCTCTGGTGCTTGGTGATTAGTGTCTAGAAAGGCAACAGATTTCTGTACTTTGATTTTGTATCCTGTGACCTCACTGAATTCAGCTATCAGTTCTAGTCGTTTTTTTGGTGGAGTTGAAAACGGGATCTCGAGGAGATCCTTGCGCTCCCATGTTCCTAACAGCCTTCAGTGGCCAAGAAATGGAAGCAAACCAAATGTCCAGCCACAAGAGGGCCAAATAAACAAAATGTGTTAAGACACCTACAATGGGATATTACTCCGCCTTCAGAAGGAAGGAAATTATGACACATGCTACACCATGGGTGAACTGTGATGACATTATGCTAAGTAAAATAAGCCAGTCACAAGATGGTATGACAAATATTGTATGACCCCACTTCTGTAAGGTATCAGAGTGGTCAAATTCACGGAAAAGTAGAACGGCGGTTGTCAAGCACTAGAGGGAGAGAGAAATGAGGAGTTGTTTAATTAGTATAGCGTTTCAGTTTTGCAAGATTTTTTTAAAAAATTTTTTAATGTTTTTTTTTTTTTTATTTATTTCTAGGAGAGAGAGAGAGACAGCGTGAGCAGGGGAGGGTCAGAGAGAGAGGGAGTCACAGAATCTGAAACAGGCTCCAGGCTCTGAGCTGGCAGTCAGCACAGAGCCTGATGCGGGGCTCGAACCCACGAACCGCGAGATCATGACCTAAGCGAAAGTCGGACGCTCAACCACCTAAGCCACCCAGGCGCCCCAGTTTTGCAAGATTTTTAAAAGACTTCTGTTAGAAACTGTTTTTACATAGTTTCTAACAGAGGGAGGCAAACCATAAGAGACTCTTCAATGTGGAGAAAAACTGAGGGTTGGTGGGGGTGGGGTGGGGTAGGGGGAAATGGGTGATGGACAGTAAGGAGGGCATTATTGTTGAGAAGATCACTGGGTGTTGTATGTAAGCAATGGATTCCGGGAATCTACCCCTAAAACCAAAAGCACACTGTTTACACTGTATGTTAGATAACTTGATGGTAAATTATGAAAAAAAAGTTCTGGATATTGGTGGCACAACAATGTAAATATACTTAATGCTGTGTATCTGTACACTTCGAAGTGTTTAAGATGATCAACTTCTGTTACACAGTTTTTATTACAATTAAGAAACACGATGAAAAGGGAAAACAGGTTATGAAAGGAATATATAATGGGTCCCATTTGGTCCCTGAGCTCTCACTGTGGTATAGGCGTTGGTACTTTCTGTATATTATCTTCTTTAATCTTTATACTGACCACACAATAGCTGACTTGTGACATCAATGCTCCTGAGAGGAAAAAGTGGCCATGTTTATTTTAGGAAAAGTGAACCAGCAGAATCCAGTACTGATTTTTATCAGAAGGTCCTGACACCTAGTGGCAGTTGCTGCCTGTAGTACAGAGCCCGGCAGAGCAGGCTGAATCAATGGGCATTATTTAGCGAAGTCCTTTCTAGAGTTTAATGAGAAATGAAGGTCAGAGTTCCAGTCTGGCAAGAAATAGACACATATAAATAATTTGAACCACATTTCAGATGATTCAGGACAGCAGTGGCTACATGTCTGGAGGCCAGTAATAAAGTCACTTCTCATTGGGAATTCTGGGAAATGGTACTTGAGAGATACACTGTAATCACCTCTTTGATGTCATGACCTTCACCAAACCTCTTTTTCTTTTAAACCTTCTTCACAACCTTAGGTACTTTCTTGATTTCGTTTTCTTTTCCCTAGTCACTTCTGTTTCTTTCCCCGTTTCTAGCCATTCATTTGTATTCCTGTCTACATTGCCTTGTAACAGGACTGTAGCAACTGGCAGGGGGCTGATTCCTGACAGCTGAGAGACTGTAATGAAAGGAAAGAAACTGGAAGTAGAGGAACTCTATTTGAGAGGATTCGTCAGATTAGTTGAATCAGCCTCAAAGGAAATTGGTGGCTTTAAAGGCTGAATCTGTTAATTGCAAAAAGGTTTCAATCCTGCTAATGTAAACCAGGATTGAAGATGAAAGGTCCTAGACCAGTAGAGTGTTTGAGAACTAAATGTTTTCAATGTTTTCCTCAATGTTCATGCCTTCCCGTGTATTTCAAAGAGTGGTGAACAAAACCAGAATGTTTTCAGTGTAATCTACCAGAAGGGAATGGGGCTCCGAGGGTTGGTGCATGCCTTCCCCCGTGTTGTGATTGTGAACAAAACCAGACTCTGCTGTTGTCTCCAGGCCCCTGGCTGACAGAAATGCTGAACACGAGAAGACAAAGATGATTAGCCAGGACCTCCAGGCCTATTGGAAAAAGAGCATGGCAGAGAAGAGACAGAGGGAGCAGGAAGAGAAAGCTTTGCAGCGGTAATACCCGATTGGAACCAGGAGTTCTTTGCAGAGAAATACCCTCCACTCCTTGATTACTTTCCTGGCATCCTGGGATGGCAGACAGGTTTCCAGGGCCAACGCCCACTGAGCAGTAGTGGCTGCCTAGCGAACCTGGTGGAGAAAAGAATTTGGGTTCAGGAGGAAATGCTGCGGTGGTGTATTAGAAATGTCTGCTATGGATATGTGATTGGAGAATGCTATGCTGTGTGTTCTATGCTCGCCATCTTTGCCCTAATCTTTGCCTCTGTGTAGGGTGGCTTTATTTTCATATTGTGGCTGGTAGGGAAGCATGGGGTGGGGGAGGGTAGGAATTCTCCTTGGAAATAACCAGCCAGAAACACGGAGATAGAGTTTCCATCTGGACACATCCGAGGGTGACAGAATGGTCATTTAAGAGCAGAGTCAAGGGGTTGTGTGTAAGATTGGCAGCTGGGAAAATGAAATGTCGGTTATGGAACAAGCCAAGCACATGTTCCTAAAATGTATTCTATCTGTGTTCCCTCTACGCAGCTCTCAATTGACAATCTAGGGTCAGGGAACCTAGTCATGGCTTTGAGAATGAATACTAACTTTGGAAAGGCAGCTCATCTTTTTGTCTTACTTTTCTTTGTAAGATGAGGAAAGGAAACACTTCCTTGACATAGCTAACACAGGAGTTTTGTGATCAAAGAAAGAGATATAAAATATTACAGTTAAAAAAATTTTACAAATGTAAAGGTATGCTTGCATACTATGTCAAAAAGCAACAGACCAAGCCTATACAGTCATATGCTATTGTATCCTGAATATGCCAAAATAATATTTTAATTCCCACATGTCAACTAATTTTTTATCATAGTTAAAATCTGTTATAATAAATCTTGGTCTGTAACTCCACTTCAAGATTTTCTCTTAGGGCATTTCTTACCTGTGTTTCTCATGGGTAGAACACATATTTTGTTACAATGTGAGTAAGACAGATGATGTGGCAAAGTAGAGTGCAGTTGTTTTGCTTAGAGAAGAGAAAGGGGAACTAGGGTTTTAAGGCATTTTCCTTTTTTTTTTTTGTTTATTTATTTATTTTGAGAGAGTGAGAGAGCATGAGAGGGGGAGGGGCAGAGAGAGAGGAAGAGAGAACCCACTGTCAGCGCAGATCCCAGTGCGGGCCTTGAACTCCTGAACCATGTGATCATAGCCTGAGCTGAAGCTGGATGCTTCACTGACTGAGACACCTAGGCGCCCCTCAAGGCATTTTCTTAATGTTGGGGAAAAGCAGCTAAAAGTCCGTGACATCAATGCCGGGGAGATTTTGCTGGATTTTGGAAAACTGATTGGCCCACGTGGTGATAAAGGATAGTGGAGACATAGGAACCAACCTTGAGTGTCAGGCTATGGCAGGGACATGGCAGGCACATGGCAGAGCAGCCCTGTTACCTGGAGACCTAGGCCAAGTTGTGGGCAGGGCCTCAAGCAGGAGCAGGTTAGGAAGAAGGAATTGGTTGGTGTTCAAAAGGAAATAAAGGGAAAGTACAAAGAAGCTTCACGGGTACACAGTTAGCACATGATCCTCCGTCCCCACACTAAAGCCAGCCAGGTAGGTGCCCCCCTGCACACTGCCAACATTATTTGTTCGTTCAGCTTGTCAGGCTGTCCTTGATGCTCCTTTTTACGGAATTCCACCCGTGCAGAAATGGTGGTAAGGTAGGGGGACACACCTGGGACTGTCCTGCATAATCAAGAAAAGCAGTTGAGATGCAAAACCAACTACTGCCCTTCCTTCATTACTGCTCTGAGCCCCTTTTGTCCTCTTCCTCATCGTCTCCACCCCGTCTCCTCCCCTTAAGGCTCCAGAGGCCTCTGGACTCCTGGGACTTTTCCTTATATGTGTACTCTTAACTGTGTGCTGGGGATAACTGTTAACCAGCCCCTTAATGGCCTGCTCTCCGTCTCAAGGGTCTCTTCACCCCACTCTCCGCCTCCCCCACCCCACAGAGCCTGACAGATACAGGCACATCCACGTGGCAAAGCTTTGAAGACACCTGTTTGCTGGCTGTGTGGCCTTGGGCAAGCTCTGTCTTTTCTGAGGGTCTGGCTGGCTGAGGCTGGGGAGGAGTGCTGGGGTCAGACAGTTGTGAAGGCACCAAGTCTGAAATTTACTGGAGATTGCAGAGGTTTGGAAGCAGGACATGCCAAGCTGCAGTGAGCGGCAGGGATGTTCCTTCTCTCCTGCATCGTTCTCCGGCACTGCTTCTAAGCTAGGCCGCAGCACGGACTCAGGGAGCACCTCCTAATGACCGCTTGTGCTTGTCTCTCCTCAGGACATCAAACACAGTGTTCCTTAGACCAGTGTGACCAATACCAGCGCGACAACCAGTGCCAGAGGAGCACCTCCAGTAAGGGACAGAGCAGCGGGTCAGCTGTCAACAAGCAGCTGCATGGCTCCAGCTTTCCTTAAAACCCAACCTTTGCATTGTGTTTCCCCAGGGAAACTCTCTGTTTTAATTAAATGTTGGAAGCACTATGGCGAAGCTACTGATTTCACTTGCGAGGGACAAAGTTATTTTGGTCCTTTCAGGAGTAGATTGCTTTTTAACCCCTATTGAATTCACCCCTTAGCGGGTTACTTCCATTTGCTACATGGGGAGACAAGTGCGAGGCGCTCTACAGGTTTCGACCTCCTAGTGACAACCAAAAGCTAGATCTTCAACAGTTCCAAGAATAACACGAGCTCGCTTTTCTCCTTATTCAAGATCAAGGACCCTTGGCATATGCCGCTAAAGCAAGAGGTGACTTCTCGTATCTTCCCCCGTCCCCTGGAACAGCAGTGATCTAGTCCACACCAGGGACTTTCTTTCCTGTCATTGCAACCGGTCTGGGGTCCAAGGATTGGGCCAGTTAAGGCTGAAACGTGTTTGGCAGGAGGAAGGGGTGAGGGGGCATCCCTTTTGAGTTCCGCTTCTCTTTTTCGAGGAGGCACTGGGGAAATGGGACTTACCAAAAACTGCTCCTGAAAGCTAACGGATCTCCAACTCCGTGCTAACTGCCGCGAGGGCGGCGGGTAAACGGTAAGACCTCAGCTGAGAACCGGAAAGAGCCGGGGAGCTGCGCGGGGGGGCGTGCTCTCCCGCCCCGTCGTCAGCGGTGGGGCGGGTCCCACGCCCGCCCGCCCGCCTCGGCGGCTGCGCGCGGTTTGCGGCGTGAGGGCAGCGGTGCGGGTGGCGCGGCGGCGGCGGCAGGTGTGCGGCGGCTCCGGCCGGGCTGGCGCGACGGCGGCGTGGCGGGGGGCCTAGCCCTCGGCGGCGGGAGCCTGGAGGGAGGCGGCGGACTAAGTCCCGGAGGGACGTGTGACCGCGCCGGCGGGAACAGACGTGCCTGCGGCCAAGAGGCGGAAGCTGAGTAGCGCGGAGAACAGCAGCCCGGACCTCTCTGGAGACGAGAATGTGAGTGCGGCCCAGAGCAGCGTGGACGGGACTGTGCAATGAACGTTCGAAATTCTTTTTAAGCCGTCGGTGCGGGGGTGGGGGCGGTCGGGCTGCTTGGCGGGGGGAGAATTGTCACCCTCGGGAAAACGCGGGCGTGGAGGAGAAAATCGAATCCCCTTGTCTTCTCTGGGGATTTTGAGCAGGGGCCGAGAGCAGGCGGAAACTTGGCGAAGGAGGGTGGTTTCAGACAGAGCGGGGTGGGCGGAGGGTCTAAAGGGTCCGCTCGGAGATCCTGTGGCGTGGTCGGGGGGTGTTTGGGAGATTTGGGGAGAGTGCGGAGCTGAGATTCCAGTAGTTGCAAAGGCAAGTTAGAGGCTCTCCTGAGAGAGTTGGAAGGAGGAGCCAGAGTGTGTTCGCGACTTTTTAAAAAAGGAGTTTAGGGATTGGGTCACCCTCCGACCCTTACACGCTGTTCCGGATGGGAGGGTAGACGGATCGTGGACTTCAGGGGTTTGGGTGGCTCTTGGCAAGGTGGGAGTTGTGTTTGCTCCCCTCCTGTGGATGGGAATGGGGTGTGCCTGACAGGCGGCTTTTCTTCCGGAGAAGCAGAACCGAGAGGGCCCTCTTCCGAGTCGGGGAGGGAAACCACCCGTGAGGCAGTCAGAGTCGGGGACTATTTTGAAAGTTTTTCCTAAAAGAAAGGGGACGACCTGGAAGATTTTAGGTAGCAGTGGTAAAGGCATAAGTCTTTAGGTCATATGCCTTAAGCGGCTTCGCCAGGGTAAAGTGTTTTGGAATCAGACTTTTTTTTAACCTCTGAAATGGCTCTCCATTATCATCTACTGGTGAGGCAAGTCGCCGGTAATAACTAAGGTGANTTTTTAATGTTTTATTTATTTCTAGGAGAGAGAGAGAGACAGCGTGAGCAGGGGAGGGTCAGAGAGAGAGGGAGTCACAGACTCTGAAACAGGATCCAGGCTCTGAGCTGGCAGTCAGCACAGAGCCGGACGCGGGGCTCGAACCCACGAACCGTGAGATCATGACCTAAGCAAAAGTCGGACACTTAACCGACTAAGCCACCCAGGCGCCCCTGGAATCAGACTTTTTTGAACCTCTGAAATGGATCTCCATTATCATCTACTGGTTAGGCAAGTCGCCGGTAATAACTAAGGTGACAGAAATCTTAAGTTTATATCCAATAAAGTCCGCCAAGTGACTTGACAATGCAAAGTTCTTATTGACCCTCCTTTTCATAATAGCTGTCAATAATATCTGAATATACTTGAAACATCTTTGAAGCGTTATAGGAGCGTGATGTCAATTCTTCGTTTTCTCATCGATTTGGCTAGTTTTAGGAGTAAACGTTATGTTACACACCCAGTTCCTAAATTCCACATCATTACTTCACCGACTGGAAGCATAGGTATGACGCGGTGTGGTGCCCCAAATTTTCACCAAAGAGGTGGGAAAACATTACTTTTTCGGATAGAAGAACGATGTTTGGGGAATTGTTAGTTCCGACTTGAAGTTTCAGGAAAGTTTGGGTGTTGAATGTTACTTTAAATCTGTCTCCTGTTTGGCCGTCTCCGTTTTCTATATTGCCTACTAACATTGTTGACCCTCTGAATTCCAGTCCTTGGAGTCTGTTTTATTTCTCATTTTTAAAAGTTTATCTAGACAGATGACATAAGAGGTTAGGAGTACAGATCGGATTCACATGTTAGGTTTACATCCCCAGATGTATTCCTCACTGGTTGCCTGACCTTGAGCAAGGTACTTGGTCTGGTTTCCTCAATTTTTTAGAAATGGGATTAATAATGGCCTTTACGTCAAGGAGTATGTGTGAGAACTAAAGGAGATAATACAGGTATAGTGATGGAAAGAGTGCTTGCCCCATAAGTACTATACAAGTGTTAATTACTGCAAAGACTTATGCTTCTAGCCCTTGCACATTCTAAATAAGCAGAAATGTAATGAAAGTGTCAATAATCTAGATTGAGGCACCTTTCAGAGGACCACATAAATTGAAAGTTTTTTTTGTGTTTTCTTTTTCTTATGTTCTTTGGTTTTTGGTAGACCCTTAGGAAGGATATGTTTTTTGCATTCTAAAGCTGTTCAGAACCAAACAATGGAGTAAGCCTTTGTTTTGGCTCCCTGATTTGGGTAGGGACTTGAAACCTTTTTTGTGCCTTGGAACACTTCACTGAGTCCTGGGTAGCCTTCTCAGAACATTTTATTTTATTTTATTTTATTTTATTTTATTTTATTTTATTTTATTTTATTATGTTGTTATGTTATTTTATTTTTCTAAGATTTTTTAACATTTACTTTTGAGAGAGAGAGAAAGAGCACGAATGAGCAGGGGAGGGGCAGGGAAAGAGGGAGACACAGAATCCAAGGAGGCTCCAGCTACCAGCCCAGACCCTGATGTGGGGCTCGAACTCACAATCCACAAGATCATGACCAGAGCTGAAGTCCTATGCTCAACCAACTGAGCCACCCAGGAGCCCTCAGAGAAAACAACGTTTTAAAGGTATAAAATACAATACGTAAGATGACAAAATAATAAAAGTATGAAATATGTTATAAATATAAATGAAGTCCTTTAATATAAAGGGTTTAAAGAAAGTGCTTCTTTATCAGCACATTAAGTAACTACATCTGGAAGGGTGTCTGGTAGTAATGATGGGCATAGGCAATTTTTCGAGATCTGCAACTACTAGCATATGATATAAAAATCCTTGATTTTCAGTGATGAGAAAGTCACAGCTATTAGAGTAGGATTAGCATGTTATGGTATGTTACCTTCCCTTTCATAGAAGGAGGTGCTAAATTTCAGTTAAAGATAGTGAAGATTAAGCGGGTTTGTTTTGCCATTTAGGTTTAGAGGCCCTCCACATTCCACCCAAGGACCACAGATCTAGGACCTAAGTTAGCGGGGAAGCAATAAGGAAAAGCAGTAGAGAACTATGTCGAAAAAGGAGTTCAGAAAAAGCTAACAGGGGCAGTGGTCTTAACTCTTTAGGGAACCAAATAGTGAAGAAAAGGCCAAAGGCAAGTGAGGAAAGAATGTGGTGTTTTTTGAGTTGGAGTTACGGTAACCTGAACAATTACGACTATGAATGTGAATTGAAGAACTGAAAGGACATATTTCAAATTTACTGTATACATATATGCCATTTTATTGAATTTTTAACGGTCTTATGTCTGCAGAGTATTTAGCGTCCAGCAGAATACTAAGGGTTGCCTAGCAGAGGGCTAAATCTGGAGACATCCTTTGTGTAAGCAACCTGTGCAAGATTAAGGGACAGATCACTCTCCCAGGTTCCTTGTTGGGCAAATGAAGGTGGTCATGCCTTATCATCATTCTGTATGTTGAGGAGGGTGCAAGGTGGAAATCACCCTACACACAGATACTCAGCAAAGGTTTGCTTTTAATTTGAAGATAAGATTCAAGCATTGTGACTTGCATTTCCATTTGATTCCTCCTGTTTTTTTCCTTTGGAGGCGCTGGGTAAGTTAAGTGGTCAGAGTGCAAACAAAACAAAACGGGGTTCTGTGTGGTTTCTTGATTAGCAGTTAAATTTCGGGCCAGAACGTAAAGAAGCTGGTGAATAAATGTCAGTTTTATGATTTTATTTCTCTAGTGGTAAAGGACAATTTGCATAAAAAGGTAAGTGAAACATAAGTGTTATTTTACCTCCATGAGAGAACTGGGCAAGCATAAGTCAAACAGTATACAGTAAAGGAATGTAGAGGTGAAATTGCCGAGTGGAGACAAAAGTTTTTTCCAGAGTCCAGGGGAAGACATTTTGAGCCTTTACCTTTGGAGTCAATTAACATGACTGTAAGTTACCCACACTATAAAATGTGTTGTGTGGTTTAAAGGCAATGAAGAGGGCTAGAATCTGATAACGTGGAAAAGGGTGCTATATATACTGCTTAGTTTTCCACTGAAACACGGTTATTTTCTACCCTAGATGTTAACTGTGTGAAACTGTGAAGTGGGGGAGAAACAGGTATAAACCGTGATTTCAGCCTGGGAACTGAACTTTAAAATTTTACATTTTTTATCTGATTATATTTACATTAAAATTACAGTTCAAATATTGAGTACCTGTTGTGTACCATCTATCCATTCTTTTCATCCTAACCTAATCGATGTATTCCAGAATAATGAGTGCATTTTTTAAAAAGGTAGGAACCATTTGAAGTTTTGAAAACTACCCCCCAGAACCATTGTATAACACCATACTGTTTTTAGGTGAATTTAAGTGGTATGAATTTTTTGTATGCTTTTAGACTCTCCAGTTAATTTTTAACCTTCTGTAAATGTAACACTACCTTTAGGAAGCAATCATTCAGAAAGAGCCCTTAAGGCAGTGTTTCCTAGTCTTTTCTAATAGGTGTTAACAGGCACTCTGCACAAAAAGCCTTTCTCTGGAGGGAATTTAGGAGCTGTTGTCACCAGGCGGTAGGTTTCAATAAATCTCTTTATTCAAAGAACATACTGGAATATGTGATCAGAGGAGGTAGTTAAATCTTAGATTATCTGAGAGACAAGAATGAATTTTGTGGACTGGAGACAGGGTTACA